TGAAGAACAAACAAGGGAGAAAAGATCTTAACCTTCATTTGGAACTTTATTTTTCATCAACGTTGTGTATATCATATTATCAATTTAATTGTAAAAACTGGATTAGAACATATAAGTTCTCTTTTATAAAATTAGACAAATAATAAATTTTATTATCGTGTCACCAGCAAGAAAACAAACATTTAACAGTTTGTGTGCAGAGTATGGCTTACAGGAGAAATCATTTGTCACTGATGTAACACATAAATAGAACTCTACATATTTTATGTTACATTGGTATGAAAATTATGATAAAGTGATTTCATTATATTATAATGGTAGGCATATATACGGACCCGAACATAATTTAGAAGATTGAGAATGATCTCTTGCATTTAATGTAAAAAAATTATAAAATCTTTTTTCGATACTACAAAGGAATGTAGCGGAGTTTATTACCCTACATCTTCACTTGTTTTATAACATTTTTTTACATTTCACAAACATTTCATAAATATAGGAATTTGCCATTTTTTCTGACTTAGTTTGTTCTATGGAGTTAAAATTTTGTAAATATTGGGAAGAATTACCCTCTTTATTTATTTTAGCTTCAGTAATGAACTCTCAATTTAATTTGAATGACACAATAGCCACTGTGAAGGGGATTTCAAATTTCTTGAATGTGGAATTATCGCATGTGAATATAGAATTTACGTTATCTGAAATGTATAATTATTATGCTGATAAAGAAGGCCGGTGTAGTTCTACTTCCCAAAGTTCTTCTTTGAGAAATATTTTGAAAAATTCAGATAATTTATGGAATTTTTTGAAAAGCAATTCAAGTGTTTCCTCGTTTGGTTATAGTTCATCGATATCTAGAGCGATAAATGTCGGTAGTACAAATTTTGAAATCCCCTCCGAGTTAGCTAGATATATGTGCGTAGACGTTCTCAGTATGTTACCTGAAAAAGAATTTCAGGAATTTAGTCTTCTAAATTGGTGGAGGTCTAATGAAAGACAATATCTAATTGTATCAAAAATTGCACGTGATCTACTAACACCTCCGGTGTCTATGGTAGCGTCAGAGGCTGCATTCAGTTTAGGTGGTCAAATTTTATTAGATGAACGTGCAAGACTAAAAGAAGATATATTGGAGGCTTTAATATGTTTGAAGGATTGGGAATGTGCAGAATTACGTGTTCAAGAACATGTTGACAGTATACTGGCCGGAGAGTTGCAGCAGATCCAAGCATAGAATGTTGTAAGTTTTTAAAATAATTTATTTCAAAACAATATGTAATTTTTAAATTTATTTGTTTCAAGAAAAATTGTACACGAAATATTTTATTCGTATACAATTTTAATTCCGTCTACATCATGTAGCCGGTCCCAAGTCCGGAAAAAGGAGGGTTGTAAGTTGTAATTTTTATTTAATTTGTAATGCAATTTTATAAGTTGTAATTTTTATTTAATTTGTAATGCAATTTTATAAGTTGTAATTTTTATTTGATTTGTAACTCGTATAAATTATGTAATTTTTAAATTTTTTTTTTAAGAAAATGTTAGATTCGTAATCTTGTATTAAAAAATAAATAAATCGAGCCAGCTCGACTCGGGCTCAACAAGGCCTGCCTTTTTTTTCGCCGAGCAAGCTCGGGCTCGAAAAAAGATCAAGCCTCGAGTTTCGGCTCGGCTCGTTGACATCACTATCCCTATACGGCCATAGAAAATTGATATGTTAATTCTCCATCAAGGAAAAAGCCTTTCTTCCCAGTGTGTCAGTATAAGTGAGGAAAATTCATTTGTTGTGTCTATATTACTCACATTCTAATTTTCATTTAATTTTTGACAAACATGACCTCTAAAATGCTGTAATATGTTTAGTTTGTCTTTTGTGATTTTTTTTTTCTATCTAAAAAAGATTTTTCCTTTTCAATGTCTAGGAATTTACCGGAGAAAGCTTCCGCAACTAGTAGCTGATAAAGGAGAACTTAGTGATCACGACGTGAAAATATTGGAACGGATACAGATCATGTTTTGCGTTCCAAAGCAAACCGTTGAAGCAGCTCATGCAGATATCTGTGGCAGTTTATTTGAAAAGGTTTGTTCTTCACATTTACAATGACACGGGCTGTTACCAAGTTTTGATCCTGTTTATAAGGAGTAGGATGATTTGTATTATGGTTGTACCTCCTGGATCACATCTCCTATCGAAAAAATATAAGAAGCCTCTGCTTCTCTTCACAATTAAAAGGAAAATAGAGATGAATTGCCTAGATAATTGCCTAGATAATTGTAGGTACTATTTGTGCTCCTTGCTTGGTTAGACTTCGTTTATAGAAGACTTGGAGCTTTTTGGCTGTGACAAATCTGTTTTCATTTGAATTTTTAGTTATTTTATTGGAATGCCACCGAAAATCTTATGTTACACCATTGCTCTGCTCTTTGTAATTAATGTGATAAAAATGATTACTCTAAGCTTTTAATGAACTTGTTCTATTGAAATCCCTTCTTTTGTCATAACAAACTGTGGTGTTCTTATTTATTTATTTAGTTTTTCTGGTATTCCTTGCTTTCCATTATGCCCTCATGATTGTTAGTTTCTAATCCAAAATCACTTTGACAGGTCATTAAAGAAGCAATTGCTGCAGGAGTGGATGGGTACGATGCTGAAGTTAAGAAGTCTGTCAGAAAGGCTGCTTTTGGTTTACGTTTAACCAGGGGGGTTGCAATGTCTATTGCTAGTAAGGCAGTAAGTATCTGATGAATCAGGATATCCGTACATATTTGTTGGACTATGTTCTTAAAGAATTTCTGATAGCTATAAATAACTTGGATAAATGCAGGTCCGTAAGATTTTCATCAGCTACATTCAACGAGCGAGGGTGGCGAGTAATCGTACGGAGTCTGCTAAAGAACTCAAAAAGATGATAGCTTTTAATAGCTTGGTTGTCACTGAACTAGTTGCAAACATCAAAGGTGAATCAACTGATACTCCACCTAAAGAGCCTATTGAAGAAGAAGAAAAACCAACAGAGGTAGATGAGGAATGGGAGTCCTTGCAGTCACTTCGGAAAGCAAGACCAAGCAAGGAAAGTATGGGAAAACCAAGCCAGACGGAGATAAATCTTAAAGATGACCTCCCAGAAAGGGATAGAACTGATCTTTACAAGACATATTTGCTATTTTGTCTAACTGGTGAAGTGACTAGAATTCCATTTGGGGTTCAAATCACTACAAAGAAGGATGATTCTGAATATGTTCTGCTAAACCAACTTGGTGGAATACTTGGATTGAGTGACACGGAGATTGTTGACATACACAGGAGCTTAGCTGAACAGGCTTTCAGGCAAGAAGCCGAAGTTATTTTAGCTGATGGACAGTTGACTAAGGCAAGAATTGAGCAACTCAATGAGTTGCAGAAGAATGTTGGCTTACCGCCTCAGTATTCTCAAAAAATAATAAAAGAGCATAACTACTACAAAATTGGCAGCAGCACTGGAAACTTCTGTTGGCCGGGGGAGGCTTAGCATAAAGGAAATTCAAGAACTGAAAGAAAATGGGGTTGATGTGGACACCATGATCTCTGAAAGTTTACGAGAGAACCTGTTCAAAAAAATCGTTGATGATATCTTCTCATCTGGTACAGGAGAGTTTGATGAAGAGGAAGTATATCAGAAAATACCGAGAGATCTCAATATTAATGCTGTTAAGGCCAAAGAAGTTGTTCAGGAGCTTGCACGAAGTAGATTATCGAACTCCCTTGTACAGGCAGGGGCACTTCTAAGGCAGAGAAACCACCCAGGGGTGTATGCATCATATTTTTGTTCTTTAGTTCTAGAAGATTCGTTTATTGATTGTGTGACTTAATTGTTTCTCTATGTTCTTGTCGGTTAATTCTCTCAATGACTTGTTAGCCTGTGACAAGGCTGTACCTTCGACTCGTGCCAGAGGAACTGGCTGATCTCTTCCTCCTATACTTGAAAAGTGACCCGTCACCCGAAAATTTGGCCAGAGTTCAATATCTACTGAATATCAATGACTCAACAGCAGAAGCTTTGCGAGCCATGAAGGATGGAGGACTGCTAAATGGAGCAGCAGAGGAAGAGTTTGTATTTTGAATGTTTGTCAAATAAGAAGTTTTAGGGAATATTTGCTTGATTTAGTCATCTTTCTGTTCTGCAAATGAAAAAATTTAACAGTTTTGTTACTTGTTTATCAGGGACAGGATATAATTTTCTAAAGATCGTGTTCTTTATTATTTGTTTCGATGAGTTAAAAGTTTAAATGCACAAGTCTGTTTGAACATCACCTTAAGGCTGCCCAGTGGGTTTCACGACTTGGCATCTCGTCCAAGTCTTTATTACGTAGTACTGTACACTTTGGAAAAATATGTCCTTTTACTCTTCACGTCCTATTTTGTACTCCAGGATTCAACCTCAGACGGTTATGTCATGAGATAGAAGTCTTAGATCCGAATTTTGAGAATGCGACAGAAAGTCACGAGATGTAAGAGGACATAAGCTTTCCAGAACGTACAATACATATAATATAATGATTTGGCATGAAGTCGGTTCGTCATTAGAGTATTTAAAGATAAGAGCATCTTCAAACGACTTTTTATTTATAAAGAACATTTTATGCATAATAGAGCATTTTTTAATTTTGAGAGTAATTTTTTTTTATATATTTCAACAAGCTCTCTATTTTGATTCTTTAATTTATTTTTTTCCAATGAACATTTAATAATTTCTTAAATAAATATAATTTTTTTATATATTAATGAGCAATCAATTCAAATGTAATTTGAAAAATTTAAATAGTAGAATATTGAAATTTGTAATGTATTAATGCAATCATTGTACATTAAGAATAGAGAATGAGTTTGGCTTTCTAAACTTAGAAAGTTAAACACAAGCCCTATTTTAAAAAGTTTAAATAGAGTATTTTGGAACTCATTTATAAGCATTGACTCTCTGAAATAGAGAATATTTTGTGTGTAAAGAGTCTCTTCCAAGTTGGTTTCTTTCCTTAACTAGTCGAAGTCCAATTTAGGGTTGGAATTAGTTATGTTTGGTAGGTGATGTTAAAAGTTTAAGTGATTATCAGTGGTGAGTAGAACAAAATATTTTGATGAACTGGACTCGGATGCAATTCATCTTGATTATTGACAATGCTAATGTAAACTCCGTTCTAGTACAACAGCCAAGGCAAGCAATACGTCAGCAGTGTCGAGAAAACACCACTGCACATGCCCTTCCTCCGCCCAAAATCGTTGGCTTCACTGGTGGAATCCGCCGTTTCAACTCGGTCCATTCTTCTAGGTCGGGCCGCCCATGCCCAGATCATTAAGACTCTGGGTCTAGGCCTTGATGCTTTCCTCTCCAATCACCTTATAAACATGTATTCCAAGCTAGACCGTCCCATCTCGGCCCACCTTGTCCTTTTCCATACGCCGGTCCACGTTCGTTCTGTCGTCACCTGGACCTCCCTCATCTCCGGTCATGTTCAGAACGGTCATTTTGCCGCTTCCCTCTACCACTTCTTGAACATGCGCTCGGACTCTATTCATCCCAATGACTTCACCCTGCCTTGCCTTTTTAAGGCCTCGGCTGCAGTTTGCTCGCCTCTCCTCGGCCAGCAGTTCCATGCGCTTGCTATTATATTGGGCCTGATCAATGATGAGTTTGTTGCGTGTAGTGCTTTTGATATGTATTCCAAAACGGGCCTCTTGACACATGCAAGCAAGCTGTTTGATGAGATGCCATACAGAAATATTGCTACCTGGAATGCGTGCATTTCGAACGCGGTGCTTAATGGGAGGCCTCTCGAGGCCATTTCTATGTTTATCGAACTCTTAAAAGGTAATCTCGAGGCTCCAAATTCGATTACGTTTTGTGCATTTTTAAACGCATGCTCAGATGGTAAATTGTTGGTGCAAGGGCAGCAGTTACATGGCTACGTAATTAAAGGAGGGTACGAGGCTGACATTTCGGTCTTGAATGGGTTGATTGATTTTTATGGTAAGTGTCGGGAGGTTAAGTTTTCTGAGCAAGTTTTTGATAACATGCGTGAGTATAATGTCGTATCATGGTGTTCCATGGTGGCAATTTATGAGCAAAATGATATGGGGGAGAAGGCATGCGAGGTGTTTTTGAAATCAAGGAGAGAGGTAGTTGTGCCGAGTGACTTTATGGTTTCAAGCGTGCTCAGTGCATGTGCAGCACTGGCTGCACTTGAAATGGGGAGAGCAGTTCATGGTCTTGCGGTGAAGGCTTGCATTGAGGAGAATATATTCGTTGGAAGTGCACTTGTGGACGTGTATGGTAAATGTGGAAGTATAAAGGATTGTGAGAGAGCATTCCACGAAATGCCGAGGAGAAATTTGATTTGCTGGAATGCATTAATCGGCGGATATGCTCATCAAGGACACGCCGATATGGCACTAAAATTGTTCAAGGAGATGACAAATTGTGGGGACTCCCAAGCAGTGGTACCTAATTATGTAACTTTTGTGTCTGTGTTGACAGCATGCAGTAGGGGTGGGATGTTGAAGATGGGGATGTATTTGTTTGATTCAATGAGGGGGAAATATGGGATTGAACCAGGGGCAGAGCATTACGCTTGTGTTGTAGACATGCTAGGGCGAGCTGGGTTGGTGGAACGTGCTTATGAGTTTATAAGAAATATGACTATACGGCCAACAGCTTCGGTGTGGGGGGCTCTATTAGGAGCTTGTAAAGTGTATGGGAAGCCAGAGCTGGGGAAGATTGCAGCTGAAAATTTATTTGAACTCGATCCCCATGATTCTGGAAGTCATGTTCTACTTTCAAATATGTTTGCTGCCGCAGGTCAGTGGGAAGAGGCCAATGTTGTTAGGAAGGAGATGAAGGATGTGGGTATTAAGAAGGGTGCAGGATACAGTTGGATATCTGTTAAGAACTCTGTCCACGTTTTTCAAGCTAAGGATACATCACATCATCGAAACTCTGAGATTCAGACAATGCTAATTGAGTTGAAAACAAAGATGAAGGCTGCTGGATATGTACCTGACACCAGTTTTGCTCTCTATGATTTAGAAGATGAAGAGAAAGAATCAGAAGTTTGGTACCACAGCGAGAAGATTGCACTTGCATTTGGCCTTATTGCCCTCCCTCCTCGAGTTCCTATAAGGATAACCAAAAACATTAGGGTTTGTGTAGACTGCCACAGTGCATTAAAGTTCATATCTGGCATTGTTGGCAGAGAAATTGTTGTGAGAGACAACAATAGATTTCATTGTTTCAAGGACAATCGATGTTCATGTGGAGATTATTGGTGAACAAGTGCCTTCTTTTGTTGCGATCTATACTTCTCAATGGAAGCTTTTTCTACCAAAAGCTGTGCTCACTGAAACTTTAAGGTCGTTTATCCTTCTCCTGCCAGTTTTTGGTTGCTAGTAGTTGAACATGCAAAATTCTGTTTTGAAATTATGAGGTATATTTGAAATTGCAGGTTATGGCATACTCTAAGGGGGTAAAAGGGAATCTATCTTGTTTAAAGAAGCATCTTCTTTTCGTTCTTGCTCTGGAAATGCAAGCCCAGGTATTCAGTTAGTACATTGTTTCAACATACTTGCTTTTCTAATTTGCAGTTTGTAGTAGTTGTCTTGGTATTTGTTCTTTTCCGTTCTTCATTTAAGTGATTGAATGCAGCATTGTATTTTGTTTCCTCATCTCTAATTATTTGTAATCTTAGGATGATTGCCAAGTGGTTGTGTTTCCCAGAGCTTGGATATTTTATCAACCTAAATACATGGTGTCTTGATGTTCTCAGATGAGTATGATTTTTTTCCCTTTTATTTTCTTCTCTTTAATATATTAATAACATAAAAAGCAAAGGTCTCAAATGTGGTTAGGTTGGACTCTTAAATTTATCCATCAGTTATGAGCATTAGTTATTACTCATTTAGTTTAATTTCATATAAATTACTTGTTAAGAACACTGTATTACATCAGAAATTCGGTTCCTTTATTCTGATCTAGATGCTGACCTAAAAGATTTGTCCCACATTTGGCCAGTTAACAGTACTAAAAGGAACCATTATGTGCTCTCTCCAAAATAAATAAAAGTAGAACACTGTTTTATGCATTCTAGATTTAGTTGCTCACCCCTTTTGTCTTCTCAGGAGATTTTTACATCAAATATGTCTTTATATACTTCTACATGCCGTATGTTTTCGCTCTCAACGAGTTGGACTACTATATGGCTGTACGTTTTTGTGATGGCATCAGAGTTTTGAACCCCCCTCTTACCTGAAATGGCTTCTATAGTTTCTTTAACCATATTTGCTAAAGATGAAGAGTTTCAACCTTGAGATCGTGTGTATTAGTTTAACTCTCATTTTCCATCTCTTGCGGAAGTTTATACATTAAGCATGTGTTCACTTTATCACCTCTGCAGCACTGACTGTGGTTGCGCCACTTTGGAATTATGGGCAGGGAAGTTCTCAATATCCAACTCGTGTGCTTCTATATCTAACATGTTTTCCTTTCCTTTTGCGTTCAGCTTTCAACATTTCCCCAAGCTGGGGAGTGAAGAAAAGGAGTGCAGTATCAGAAAGGAGAAAGGCATTGTTGGAAGCAAAGGTGAGCTCACACTAGATCAAGCCCTCACAAGATGACTCTAGGACTTTCTCTTGAACAAATTGCATCTCTCTCTCAATTGCTTATCAAAATTTGTCTCTTACAATTGCTCAACTCTTTTGAATACAAAGCTAAGACTCCTATTGGTACTTTTTACTATGAGAATATTATTTAATATGTATTCATGAATCCTGTATCTAATTTATGTTACATGCATATATGAATAAATGGACTTCAAACCTGAATACATTTGACGTGTAAATTATGAATACTATTAATCTAATATTTTCATGATTCTTCTTATAGATTTAAGGATAAATAATTATTTTGGACTACCCTATAAACCTCTTCAACATTCATACAAGTCTAGATCAACTTCCAAAATCCTTGTCGAATGCCAAACTTATCGGGCAACTTTCTCATTATTTTTTCTTCTATGTAGTCACATTCAGAAATATTGACTTCACATCCTTTTGAAGACACTTTCCATCCTACCAAGGCGCTGTTGCAGTAATTAATCAAAATGTCTCTGATCTATTCACTGTTTCTTAGAGTTGTCTATAATGTGTAATCATTATCTTTCTCTAATGAATTGGAGTAGGAACCAACTTTCCACTCTTTAGTTTTCGCCAACTTTCTCATTTCCTTTTTATTAGTATTTTTGGACCTCATGGCGCCTTTAACAGGATTGGTTTTCAATTACTAATTCTTCCTTAACTAGTTCCAAGTATAATATTTTGTAAATTTCCATAATGTGTGCTGCCATTATTAGCCATAGTTCTCTGAAATGATATAGGTTCTATATTTAGAAAAGAAAATTTATTGGGATTGTTCTGGTTGTCATCATTATTTTGTCCTTGATACATCATATTGCAATGTGGATACTACAGCTAGCGTATACATTCTCTTATATGATGTCTGCCTGTTATGAATAGAACCATAATATCGATATAAACTCGTTGATGGTATTATATGGAAAGCTGTGGTTTTAACTATTTCTTTGGGTAGTTTTGATAGAAAGGAACTCCAGAATGTTTGAAGAAAAAGAACAACAGCTTGGAAATTTATGGGAGAGCAAAGGTTTTGGCTTCTCTACAAGCTTCTTCCATATGGTTATTGGCTATTCGTTTTGCCTCAGCAAAAGCTTGATAAGCTTACATAGGAAGCCGTGATTTGGCTATTTTTGACAGAAAGTGACTCAAGATTTTTCTGTCGAAAGAGAACAACTGCTTGGCGATTTTTGGGAGAGTGCATAGTTTTTCTCCGTATGTATTCTTTTTCAATCTTTACTTGTTCTTGTTTGGTAGAAGGTGTGATATATCTTATAATTCTTGATTCTACTGTTAAACACGTTTTCTCATATTTTAAGAGAACTCTTGGTCTATTCATGTGTGTATGTTTATTCCTTGATTAGTAAAATTCTATTTCTTATACCAGAATTCTTTCTGGGTATATTCTCTTATATCTCATTCCACATTGCATTAGACGTGTTAATGTGAATTTTTTGGACTTTTATTCATGTTCAAACAAGATTTTTCAAAAGTGCATTTGTCCTGGTTCTTTTCAGCTTATAGCCCCATTTTTTCGATCGAACTGGCCTATGGTATTTATTTAACGTAACTTTTCCATTAAGTTATTGTGATAATTGCAATAGGTGATTTGACAGCCTCCATAGAGAATGAGAGAAAATAATGAATCTGCCCCCATTAGAAAGTTCCAAAGTTTGGGGGCTTTGCAAGATCAATTAATATTGACTTCTGTACAAAATTAAGCATTAGTAAGAAGATGGGGGTAGTTAGCAGATTCTTATGGACCTCTGGTTCACACAGAATTATGCCTAAAATAATTGCACTATTGGTCCTAGTAACAAGTTGGTAGTCGACCTTTAAAAAGGAGAAACTTACTCTTCGATCTCACTCTTTAGTTGCAAATAAGTTCGTAAGAATGGTTTCAGAATCTTCATTAAATAATCACATGGTCCTAAAAGAAACATCTCTCACTACAAACAAATGAGAAGCAAAAGTTTGCTTATAACTGAGATCGTGAGTTCATGTTTAGCTAATGTTTATAAATTGTTCAAAATTAATAAACAATGTTTTGTATATATATTTCATAGGATCCACTTATTCACTAACCATTTCTATTTATTTATAATTCAAACTATTTATAAACACTATCCAAACATGCTTATACGCTAAATTGTCACATGGCTTTCAGAGAACAACCTCATTTCAAAAGATTTGGCTTTGAAAATCAAGATTTATACGTTTTAATTATTGAGGTTGATAGTGCAATTATAACGAATGACTCAAGGCCAATTATCTTCTTTTAAAGATCGGAGACCTATATGTGACTAGAGCAATAGACAGGGACCAATGATGCAAATTTCCCTTATTTTAAGGGATTAAACTCTAAAGTTTGATTCTACGATGTTCATTTCTAAATGTTGGTGCTTTGACCATAACTTAAAAATACAAAGATTTAATTTTGAACAAAAAACGAAAAAAAGACTATAGTTTCTTTTATGTCCATTGAGCATAACCATTATTTATAACAAAAAGTCCCTTTTCGTATTTGAGCCTTTTTAAGAATGACATTATTAAAATAGTCATGACTTTTATGATTAAGCGCCTATCATTTAGCTTATATTTCTGTTACAAAATAATAAGCCACAAGAAATTTCCAAGTTTTTAGACCTAATCATTCTGTATATTTCTGTGTAAACTCAAGTTCCTTTAAGATTGTAATAGCAATTTTTATTTATTACTTTGCAAGAACTTGAAAGGGTTCTCTTGATTCTCATTTCTTGATCATAAATGAGCTGATTGTCACAAAAAGTTTTCCATTTTTGTTTCTCTTCCCTTTTTTTATTCCTTAATTGATTCAATTGCATTGAACAGCACAAAAGATAAGAATAGGTTGACTTATTAGAATGAGCAAAATGTCAATGGTGGGGGCAAAGTGCCTGTACTATATATTTGCATGCCCTCAGCTAGTTGAACTCCATCTTCACCAGGCAAAACACAAATTAATTCTTTCAACAGAATCTGCTGGAATTCATGGCAAGAAGAAACTTATCCTCCCGCTTTCTCTTCATAATTTTGTGTGTTCAGCTTAAAATAAGTAGCTCACAATTGTCATCTAATTACTACTCCACTTCCTGTCCAAAAGCTCTTCTCACCATCAATGCGGCCATCACTAAAGCACTGTTTAAGGAACGTCGCATGGGCGCTTCATTGCTTCGCCTTCATTTTCACGATTGCTTCGTTAATGCAAGCTCTCTCTTTCACTCATCAACCTTCCATTAAGTTACACAATTGCTTATCATTGACATAAGCAGTTCAAATCTCCTTTAATTGTCATGTGTGGCCCTCAAATATCCAATTTTATAAAACTAGCTTTTGTTTTCCGACCGTGCTACATTGTCAGAATTATTTGCCTACTTCCTTGACAATATGTTATGCCATTTTGTCATTGGACTATTTAAAAAACAATCAGTTTTTATATTTAATCATCTGCTGCCAACACTGCATCTCTCAAGTAGGTGGGCAAAAAATTCTATTACAAGGGCATATTCCTTTGTTTCCAACTTGAGAGCTGGTGCCCATAAATTTCAATTGAGGCATATTTTCACAAGATCACATGACAATTCAGAGGAATTTGAACCATTTGCTACTCATCTAATTGTTCATGTACAATAATCTGCACGTATACTTAACTGTCAAAATGGTTTTCATTTATGGATTTTACAAGGTTTTTGTGTATGAAATGTATCAACAGGGATGTGATGCATCTGTTCTACTAGATGATACAGCAAGTTTCACAGGGGAGAAAACTGCCGGACCGAATAATAATTCATTAAGAGGGTTTGATGTTATCGATACTATCAAATCTCAACTAGAGACCTTGTGTCCCAAAGTTGTTTCGTGTGCTGATATTTTAGCGGTTGCAGCTAGGGATTCTATTGTTTCGGTAATCTCCACATCCATCCTAATTTCTTTTGGTGTTTTAAAGTCTGTCCGATAATAGGAGTGTAAAACTCGACTATGTTGACCAGTACATCATACTGTGCCATAAGCTAGCCTGTCTAGAGAGACAAGCTGTAATAAATGAGCACGACTCGTCTCTCTAAACAACTAATGATATATTTGGTAGGTTAGATTGAACAAAATTACGTAATAAATGACAAAGGCAACTAGGCAAGACTAGTCTCTTATTATCATTAATATTGTCGAATTGACCACCTTACCAAACGTAATTAACTGTTCGCCTCCCAGTTTAACATGAAATTAACTACGAACAACACCCAGAAAACCGCTAACAATGTTTTGGTTGTCTGTTTATTTCGTGAAGCTGGGTGGACCATCATGGGTGGTTCAACTAGGGAGAAGAGACTCAACCACTGCAAGTTTAAGTGCTGCAAACAGCGAGATTCCGTCCCCTCTAATGGATCTCAGTGATCTTATCTCAGCCTTCTCAAACAAAGGCTTCACTTCAGAAGAAATGGTTACACTTTCAGGTACTAGGACATTCTGTTATTTCCCTTCAACTCGTCCCAATAAAGTTAAGGTCAGCTACGTTAATCCTTTTTCACAACTCCGTTCCATTCGTCACTGATCGTTACATTTGTATACAGGAGCTCACACGATAGGACAAGCGAGATGCATGGCATTTCGTGACCGAGTCTACAACGAAAGCACCATTCTTTCATCTTTTGCAACATCCCTGAAAACAAACTGTCCAAACACAGGCGGAGACGATAATCTTTCACCTCTAGATGCAGCAAGTCCTTTCTCTTTCGACAATGCTTATTTCAGGAATCTAGTCAATAACAAAGGCCTCTTGCATTCTGACCAGCAACTCTTCAGTGGTGCTTCGACAGATTCTCAAGTCACAACTTATAGCACCAATCCTGCATCATTTCGTGCTGATTTTGCTAGTGCAATGATCAAAATGGGGAGCCTTAGCCCACTTACAGGGAACGACGGTCAGATCAGAACCAACTGCCGGAAGACAAATTAAGCTTGGAAATGAAATAATCTTTTACTGCATTTTTAGACTATTAATGTACCAAATAAGTGGATATATGCATATATAAGTTTTCAGGAGGGAAGAAATCGTCTCGATGGATAATACTAGCTCTTCCAATTGTAATGATTGAAAATAATTAAATAAATGTTTATTCTCTGTGTAGAATATTGTCATTGCTTTACTTTATTTCCGCGAACAACATGGTAATTACCGGTATATACTAATTAATGGAATGTGAATGCACAAATCAAAGAACAAAGACTGTCAAGAATTACATCAAAACATTTCAGCCGAAAGAGAACAAAGAGAGCAGCAATTAGTCATTCCATAAGTACTGGCCTTAGAGGCATTTATAGTCTGCCACGAACTACATTGTAGTTTTATGAACCAGGAGCTTCCAGTTTCGAGGATCAACTTGTAGGAAATAGAAGTGGACTTAGGAGGAGGAAATGATTTTCTATTCAATTGTGGACTTGCCTTCAACTCAAAATTGCATAGGTATTTNAGCTTTGGTGAGAATATCTCCAATTTGGTCTTGAGACTTCACAAAATTAATCTTCATTACCTTCTTTGCAATGCATTCACGCACAAAGTGATATTTGGTATCTATATGTTTGCAAAGTTCATGAAACAACGGATTCTTTGCTAAAGCAATGGCTGATTTGTTATTCACACTTACTTCAGTAGGCTCTCTTTGTGCAAAATGAAGCTCATTCAACAAATTCCTTAGCCAAACTGCTTGTGTAACACAAGAACTGAATGCAACATACTCAGCTTCACAAGTTGACAAAGTAACAATTGGTTGCTTCTTTGAGCTCCAAGTAAAAGTTGTGTTACCCATGTAAAATACAAATTCACTGGTACTCTTTCGATCATCAATGTCGCCACCCCAATCACTATCACTGAAACCTCTAAATTTGAAAACATTAGAGGCATAATAATGAAACCCGAAATCAAGAGTATCTTTGATGTAACGTAAAATTCTCTTCGCAGCTTTCAAATGTGTTGTCGTTGGAGTCTCCATATAACGACTAACGAGTCCTACTCCAAATAATATATCCGGTCTTGTACAAGTTAAATATCTCAGACTTCCAACTAAGCTTCGAAACAAGGTTGGATCCACCTTTGCACCATCATCATATTTGGAAAGTTTGATGTTACATTCTACTGGAGTGTTAACTGGATTGCAATTACTCATGTTGAATTTCTGTAAAACTTCTTTTGCATAATTTTCTTGTACGATGAAAATGCCTTCCTCCGTCTGCTTCACTTCTATCCGAAGATATTAGGACATAAGTCCTAAATCTGTCATCTCAAATTCACAACACAGTTTTCTCTTGAATTCTTCAAACGTCTTTGAATTGTTGTCTGTAAAAATTAGATCATCGACATACAAACAAAC